CACTACAAAATGGTCCTTTATTTATATTCCCCTTTTCTGTTTTTGTTTTTAGACACCATATGCTTAAGTGAAATAAATCAGACCTGTATGTGCAAATATATTGTCTCCTTTTTTTTTTAGTACAAGGTTTCAGCATAAGTATGTAGATTGTACTTGTAGTGATTCTCCTGTTTTGAGCCTCCCAAGTGCTGCAATTACAGGCCTGTTTCACCATTTTCTGTCTCAACCACCATCTTCGTGTGCCCAGGGTCAGGGCTGGCACTGCACATCAGGGATCGAACCCTCATCACTGCTCTCTGCTTACGTAGGCACTTTAGTCCACTGAACTATCTGTCCAGCCCTCTCCTTTGCATAAGAACCTGAAAGACAAAAATGGAATATGAAGGGTGCAATACATACTGTGAAAAGCAATGAACTTATTCAAAATGAAAGAGTTACTGACTTGAGGGAAGGAGAGCTGGGGGAGCGGGGAAAGAGATTTATCTGTATATGTAAGCAGGATGGTTTGAAAAATTGCACTGTGCAGTTCTGCTCATCTGTGGGAAGAAGCAGTTAATTCTTCAATTTTTTTCCTCTCATTTTTTCAATTGTTTGTACTTTTTCCTCTTATTTCCTATGCACTTCTTTGTTTTTTTTTTCTTTCTTCCAATTTTACATGCATACATCTGTCAAAGTGAACCACTGGTTGGAAGACAACACTAAGTATCACAACAGATACTATGAAATTCAGATTTCTTTGTGAAGTGAAACTCTGGATCATTTGTAATTTTGTCTGTTTTAATTCTAATTTGTACTGTCTTAAAAAACATTTTTGAACATAAAACTATAAAAAGTGGTTCAGTTATCATGTTCCCCAATAGAAAGACTCATTAATTGCAGAATGTGAGTACTTTTCAATTGGATCAACTGATGCAATATTATTGTAGCCAAGATTGTACTTTTTTTGGGCAAGAACTACATTTTTTTAGGATGGCACAAGTTTCCATACCTTGAAGCACTGTTGGTCATATACACTGTCATGGAAATAAGCATATTGCTTTGGCTGTTAAATAAGTGACTGCCCACTAATGAATATCTCAAGTGTCACTTATAGAGGTGTGATTTAGGTAGGTTTTTGTTGCTTTGTGAAAACAGAAAGACTTTTATAACAATAGCAGGAATATTAGAAGAAATAATATCACAGTTCACAACACCACAAAGAACAAGTATAATATATTGGAATTAATTGCTTATGCAATATACTTTTCATTTGTGACGAGGAATGAATGTAAAGGATGAACGTGCCATTCATTGTGTTCCACTGTGTCTTAGGATACTTGGGTTTCCTGGCTCTGGTGAGCTTTACTGTGGTTTTCAGGGCCAGAAACCTTCCCAACACATTTAATTAAGCCAGGTTCCTGACATTTAGGCTTGCTGGCACATTCCAGTACACAGCACATGAGAAGCAGGAAGTTTTCAGCTTTGAACACACAAGGGCAAGTACTGACTTAAGGGCACTTTGACTGAAAACGAGAAACATTAAAAAATGTGTGTTGTGCAGCCCCGGAAAATGCCCCTGCTGTCAACCCCTACCACTGAAAAAATAAAGAAAAGCTGAAAATGGAAAACACAGGCATATAAATTAATTTAACAAGCCCTTTCAGCTTCTGCTGGGTAGTCTGGGAACAGTAAGAAAATAATAATCTTGAACTGATGATAGTTTGAATTTTACCAGATATGGAAGAATGTGTGAAGTGTCCAGTTGAGCAGTATGCAAACACTCAGCAAAACCACTGCCTCCAAAAATCTGTGACTTTTCTGGCTTATGAAGACACCTTGGGGATGACACTGGCCAGCACAGCTCTGAGTCTCACTCTTCTCACAGCCATTGTTCTTGGGCTCTTCGTGAAACACCGAGACACTCCTGTTGTCAAGGCCAATAACCGGGCACTCAGTTACATCCTGCTCATCTCCCTCACCTTCTGCTTTCTCTGCTCCTTGCTGTTCATTGGCCGTCCTAACACAGCGTCCTGCATCCTCAGGCAGACCACATTTGGAGTTGCGTTTACTGTGGCTGTTTCTACTGTCTTGGCCAAAACCATTACTGTGGTTCTGGCTTTTAAGGTCACTGCACCAGGCAGAAGGATGAGGCACTTGTTGATTTCAGGGGCACCCAACTCCATCATTCCTATCTGCTCCCTGATTCAATTCACTCTCTGTGGAATCTGGATGGGAACAAACCCACCTTTTATTGACACAGATATGCACTCTGAACATGGCCACATCATCATTGTGTGCAACAAGGGCTCACTGACTGTCTTCTACTGTGTCTTGGGATACTTGGGTTCCCTGGCCCTGGTGAGCTTTACTGTTGCCTTCATGGCCAGAAACCTGCCTGACACATTCAATGAAGCCAAGTTCCTGACATTCAGCATGGTGGTGTTCTGCAGTGTCTGGGTCACCTTCCTCCCTGTGTACCACAGCACCAAGGGAAAGGTCATGGTGGCCATGGAGGTGTTCTGCATCTTGGCCTCCAGTGCTGGCCTCCTGGGCTGCATCTTTGCTCCTAAGTGCTATGTTATTTTATTAAAGCCAGAGAGAAATTCTGTGCATGGATTCAGAGAAAAAAACATACGCTGCAAGAAAGAACCCTTCTTGAGCTTTTCCTAAAGTACATAGAGGGCCAACAGAAATCTGCAGTTTTTTGTAGTCAGATTTTATTTTATTTTACTTTTTTTTCGGGGGGTTAGGGTCTACAGGGTGTTCAGGGTCTTACTACTAGATCAAGCTCATAGTGATCTTCCTGTTTGCAGTTTCCTAAGAGCTGTGATTACAGGCTCACACCGCCATGTCCAGTCTCAATTGCCATCTCAGCATGCCCTAGGGGTGCGGCCAGCATGGCAGGCCTGGGGATCAAACCCCTGGCCCCTGCACCTGCTTGCTGCTGCTTGAATCCACTGAGCTATTTGGCTGGCCCTATAGTCAGATTTTCAATGACAAGATGGCTTTTCCTTTAATGATCAACTGACTATTCATACTTTTTAATATGGTAATGTTGTCTGTAGTTTTGAATGTCTTTTTTTTTTTTAATCTTTAGGTAGTAGCATGCTTTTACTTTTGTTCTTATAGCTTATTTTTGTAACTTTCTGTGAATTTTTCTTATAATTGCCTTTCAGTATTTTTCCTGTGTAAATGTAAAAAACATTCTAGAATTTAACATGGTAATGTAATGAATAAATACATTAATGTAGGAGATAAGTATATAGCATTCTATTGAACATTTTTGTACAATGTTGATTAAATATTCCCATTTTTTTTCTTATGCTAACTTTATTGATATGAGATAAGACTATCTTATGTTGTATATATTATATTGATGCAATAATATGTATGTAATAACTTCTTAATACTTATTCTTCAAAGTTGTAGGATTTATTGATAATGTGAAAATAAATTTATTGATACACAAAATATTTCATACATTTTTGTTTTTATTTTAAGAAGTCATTTCTTATATCAAATTTGATATACTTACATAACTCTAGAATGGTAACTTTTGAATCTTTTAAGCTTAAATGCTTACATTTTTTAATTATTACTTTTTATGATTTTAGTACAGGGTATACAGTGTCTCACTACACAGATGGGATTTGTAGCAATCCTCCTGTTTTCAGCATCCAAATGGTAGGAATACATGGGAGCACCTCCACACCCAGTCTTATTCACATTCTCCGTGCGCCCCTGGCTGAGCTGTCAAAGACTCAAGTCAACAACTTCTGACATTGCCAGTTCTGCTGATAACCCACTACTATTATGAACTATTGGACTATACTGAACTATATTTTGCTGAATTCAAGCACCTACAATATTTGAATAGCAAAGGAACACACATCTCTGACAAAAGAAAACAAAACAAAAAAAGGGGGATATAAATTAAGGACCATTTTTTAGTGAAAAAATATATATCTATAGATACACAATAGGATAGATATACAGCTTCTTTCTCTTATTTCAGTGAGAAGAAAGATTTATACTAATAGTGTTTAGACAAGTTATAATGTCTGTATCTTGTCCAGTGAATAACTACTATGAAGACAAATGCAATGTATTAATTATTGGCACTGTCCTACTAACCTGTTTCAAAACTGTCTCATTGCTATTTCTCTCTCATTAAAATTAAGAAAAAATAGAATCAAAATGCAAAAGTAAACAAAACACTTTATTTACATTTTTGTGAAGTTAGTAATGCATGACACTAGGTTGCCTAGCAACATAGCTAATCTTAACCAGACAAGATGCTCATCTCAGGAGTAACATAGCTTCTTTGTTTTAGGCACTGGGCCAAGTCCCACTTACACTTACTTGATCAATTTCTTAGCTTCATGGCTCCCAACATATCCCCTTTTTTTATTTTGTTTTGTCAGAGATGGGTGTTGCACTGCAGCTGAAGAAGCTGTATTTGGAGATGACTTTAAAAGACTTTTCGAAACTTGCAGACAGTGTAAAGACTGTAGGTACTTGAATTCAGAAAATAACCCAAAGTAGTCTAATATTCCATAGTATTAGTGTGTTATCAGCAGAACTGGCAATTGTCAGAAGTTGTTGAATTGAGCCTTTTATAACTCATCATATTAATATGGCATTACTTCTTGTATCTTATGGTTATACTTTTATGATGAATGGAGAAAAACTATCCTGAAAGAGAAAGTTAATGGAAATCTTGAAGACACAGGGGTACGCAAACAGCTCATGAACAAAAATCAAACTGCACAGGAAATACTTCAAATAAGGACCAACTGGGACCTAGTCTTATTGAGAAATTTTTGCACATCAAAAGAAACTATCAACACAGTGAAAAGACAACCTACAAATTTGGAAAAAAATCTTAAGTAATAAGCACTCAGACAAAGGTCTTCTATCTAAAATTTATAAAGAACTAAAAAAATTAGGGCCCCAAAATTTGAAGAACCCAATCCAGAAATGGGCATCCAAGATGAACACACACTCAAAGAAAGAAATACAAGAAGCAAATAAATACATGAAAAAAATGCTCCACGTCACTAGCCATTCTTGAAGTGCCAATTAAAACATCTTTGAGTTACCATCTCACCCCAGAAAGAATGGATATTATAAAGAAATCAACCAACAACAATTGTTGGAGAGGCTGTGGCGAAAAAGGAACCCTTCTTCACTGAGGGTGAGAATGTAGACTGTTAAAACCATTGCGAAAAACACTATGGAGACTCCTCAAAAAATTAGGAGTGGAAATCCCATTTTATCCAGCTATCCTCCTTCTGGGAATTCCCCAAAAGAACTGAAAACATCATATCATAGTGATATATGTATACCTATATTTGTAAAGCACAAATTGTGATAGCCAAATCTTGGAAACAACCAAAATGGCCGTCACCTGAGGATTGGATGAAAAAGATGTGGCGTTTTTATACAATGGGGCATTACTCAGATACAAAGAAAAGTAAACTCAAAGCCTTCATATACAAGTGGATGCAACTTGATGATATAAGTGAAAAAACCAGACCCACATGTGTAAATATCATACTGTCTCCCTAGTGTTAGAACTGAAAAGAAGAAATAAAAATTGAAAGGTATAACACAGTTAAATGGAAAGAGAGAATTTAAGGATTAAACACCAAAGACAGAGAAAGAAGAAACATTAGAAAATATGCCAGGGACAAAATCATACATTTATTTTCACAAGAGTGTTAAGGCAATAGTCCCAAGAATCTCCATCAGATTTTTGAGGGTTGCAGTTAATGTGTAGAATTCTCACCCTGAGTAACTCTATGCTGATATCTGATATCTTCAGTAACTGAGGATAGCAATGTATGATAGTAAAATCATGCTTAGAATACTTGTCATTTTTTGTCTTCTAAATGAGTACTGCTTCTAATATCATATCAATTATTGCTATAGTTTCTTTAAAGTAAATGTAAAAAAAGTAACAAAAGAAAACAAGAGACAAGAAAAAATGTCATAGGATTGTCCTGCTACAAAACTTCTGTGTAAAAATGTGTAATTTTTTTCACATTCTATAGGGATTTAAAATTTAGAATATCCATGATTGTTGGGCATTTTAAGATATCCAACCTTGGTGAGGACTCAGGACAAAACAGAACCTGTGCTGTGACACCCTTTAACTCAGTGGTGTCCCAAATTTTCTGTTCATGGAGAGTATGGGGCCACAGAGGAAAGTGATCGATGATGTATAGTGTACTTAAAGATAGTCACCTAGAGAGAAAACATTCTCTCAAGCTTTCACAGAAAGCAAATTGGTCAAGCAATGGCCGTGACTCATCCAGATAACTGACACTGATAAAAGATCTACAAGCTGCTGTACATGGTTTCAGCATAAACCCTGAGGGAATTTGAATTCAACTTGTCACAAACAAAAGTTGCATTTTTGGTTACATAGGTCTTGCTTTAACTTGGTCTTAGATATGGCATTTTTATGCAATGAAGTATTAGTTATGTCCAAAAAAAAAGAGACAAATTTGAGACTCTTACATGTAAATGGATGCAACTAGGGACCATGTTCATAATTGAAATAAATGAAGCCCTCACGTGCAAACATGATATTGTCAGTGTCAGAACCTGCAATTGTAAGTAAAATCTGAAAGGTTCAACAGATAGGTGAAAGGGAAAGAAGCTATTTAAAGAGAAGGAAAAGCAGGTTAGGAAGAAGACAGAGAATGAAGGTGAGTGGTGGGAATGGAGGTATTTATGTACATAGGTAGGATATCTTGGATAACTGTAGTGCTGACTTCTGCTGGTCTACAAGAGGGGAACTGTTGATGCTTAATTTTTCTTTAGTCATTTTAAATTTCTTATGACTTTCTAAAGCCAAGTTTGTACCCTTGTATCTGGTAATCTGATCAACTAATTTGAAGACAACATTATGCAATACAGTAACTTTTGTTGAATTCCCATTAGTTTGTTTGGTGAAATTCTGTATCATTCCTAAAGTTTTGAAAAATATTTTGCATTATTTTTATGTAATAAAACCATTCATGACATGTTCTTTTCTTCCTTTTGTTGTGCTCCATGGGAAGTTTTCAGAAAGAATAAGTATGGTGACATTTGGCTCTTGAATTCTTGGTTTCACTTTTGCCTATGTGTAGCTATTTTTCTCAGTGAGTCACAGAATCATCCAGTGTCCATCGAACTCTAATCTGCCATGGTACTGTGTCTAGGTACCTCAATATACTGTGATCAATTTCAATCACTTTTAATATCTATCTATCTATCTATCTATCTATCTATCTATCATCTATCTATCTATCTATCTATCATCTATCTATCTATCTATCATCTATCTATCTATCTATCTATCTATCTATCTATCATCTATCTATCTATCTATCTATCTATCTATCTATCTATCTATCTATCCCTAATATACCTGCCCCAATTCCCTAATATACTTTCCCATCTTCAGAAAGTCCATCTTTTTGTTTTCTAACATCCGTCTTCATTTTATTCTTTTAATTATTTATATTTCAGTTTGAAAAGGGGTTCAATCCCCAGGCCTACAGTGGCAGCCCCACCACAGGGCCCGCTGAGATGGCGATCAAGACTGGGAGTGGTGGCACGTGCCTGTAATCCCTGCACATGGGAGGCTGTAAACAGGAGAATCACTATGAATCTGATCT